GTACACGTGCGTGCATGCGTGCGTGTGCACGTACACGTGCGTGCATGCGTGCGTGCGTACCTTAACTTGAGTTAAGGCCCCGTGTAGACACTTAACTCGAGTTAAGGTTCGTCGTGTAGACGAGGCATTGATATATATGTTGATATATATTTCGTGTTTATTTACCATCATTTTATTATTGAAACGTTCCATGTGACTGTGGTACAGTTAACTTATATTATCAGAGTATTATATATTGCTGAATACTACCTTAAATTGTGAAGATGGTAATTGATCAAAGTGAGTAATTTCATAATGTAAATTATTATAATTATACTGCAATAACAGAGTATTAAATACTGGTATAATTAATATTATCATATTACACTATTTCTTTAGTTGAACCACAATATGCACAATTCTAATTCGTACTACGTTGTAGTATGCGATTGTACCATTTATTATTGCTGAATATGCTCACCTAATTTTACTATAACATAGCTGAATATTGTGCAACAATTATATATTGATCATGAACGCACAGATAAAATCCGATACAGTAAATGTCTTGTGTAGAATTCAATTATTAATATTACCAGTTAAATTGAAAACTTAATAAAATCCACAGAAAATGATAGCAATTTGCAAATGCTACCTTTCAATTACTTTACCATTGCCTGTCAATTGTTGACTACAGACACGTACGTCAGCATATATGATAATTAAGACACGACAGATTAATTCCTAAAGCCTTAATTGTGTGTTTGTTTGTGACAGCAGATACAGGTGACTAGATATTTTTGTTAATCTGAGGTGTAACCACGTATAAATACACAGCACAACCAGGACTGTTCACTCCACACTGCTGCAGCGTTTCATGTTCTCCAGGAAGCCTATTTCTGATTATCCACCGTTGTACATGTCGTGGAAGCCCATATTCTCTAAAAATCTAAAAAATGTTTCTTTATGAGATCAAATGCAATTATAACTGTCAAAAAACGTCCTGCTGATATTTGTATCAATACGAGCTTTACCAATCAAAAATGACCATAGCTAGGATATGCATAGCACAAATTTATAAAAACCAAATGGTTAACCTTTTGTGTTAGTTCAGCAACTGTGATTGTTGGCACTACATGAATGCCAATGCGACCACCAGTTGAATACCTGTCTTCCACGAACACAGTCAACCTGAAAATTATGACAGATTTTGATATACCTTTCTCTCATGACTGCTACACGGAACAACAAACACATACATTTAGATAAAAAGCTTATATTCACATATGAATCCTCTGTTAATTAAAGTTATATAAATTTGCACCATTATATGTTAGCTTCTTGTTTAGTTTCTGGTGCTATATGTACTACCTATCTATTACCGGCTGTATAACTGGGTCATGTATGAACATAGAGACATCACACATGGTCATTGCACCTACCTGATAGTTCTTTCATGCTCCTGATCAGCATGCGCAACAGACTGTGGTGATGGTGCTGGTGGTATATTAAGTGCCATCTTGCACCATACTGTCTTTCTCCAACTGTTGACCCTAATTGGTCAGTAGCACAATATAACTGAGGCTCATAGGGGCTATATGTCCCCCAGGGTACTGCCGGAACGTACCCTGGGTACGGTCCGGTATACCGGAACGTACCCTGGTAACTATTTGATATGGTTAGGGTTAGGGTTAGGGTTAGGGTTAAGGTTAGGGAGTAGGCGTAGGCGTAGACGACTCCCTAAACTCGTTAGTGGAGTAGGCGAGGTACGGTCCGGCATATTAGATAGTACCAGGGTACGTTCCGGCAGTACCCTGGGCACACAGAGTTCCAGTTCCGGCCGGAACCCTTCAGGAACAGTCGGCCGGAACCAGAACTTTTGGCTCAGGTATAGAGAAGATGTCCAGTCCTATCTTATCAACTAACATCATGCTATCCAATCACCGTACTGGACATCATCTCTATCCTTGAACCGAACTTTTTCCTAATTTACTGCGGATAGTAAGTAGTATAAGTGCGTAAATGGCGCGCGCAAATACGCAGATACATTTTAGGGCCGTAGCACAGGGAATATTAAACATATATTAGTGACATGACGTGAAATACGCGAGCGTAGCGATGGTAACAAACAGTCGGAAACGGGGGAGTATAGTACGTGTCGCTTAAACTCGGTTTTTTCCACACTTTCTGTGAACTAACAATAACATGTTTCTTTGTTTCTTGGTCAAAATGAATAAACAATTAACACCCTGAACAACACCCCTGTCGATTTTATATAAAGGGCGCGGGCGCCTACCCTCACATTTACGAAAATGACATAGTCATGCATACTCATAGGTCTCAATCTGCCCTAGCTCTAGTACTATAGCCCGCTTACATTAACTGCCGCTGGCTACCCACCCCCATCCTTCGTTTTGGGTTACATTATTGTATCTAAATCTGCCCATGCTGTCCATCCTTGAACCGAACCTTTGCCTAGGCGTTGGTAGGTACATTTCGTGTTTATTCACCATCATTTTATTATTATTGAAATGTTCCAATAAAATGCCTGTGATGCTAATTCAGTTAGTATGGGGAAGAACTGCTCATCTACGTCGCCATGCTATAGGCTATAGCTACTAAGCTACGGATCTGTGCACACCTGTTTATTGATTGTTTTTATCAATAATTAAGCCTCTCACGATCAACGTATAGGCCGTTGTAATAAACGAAGTATATATAGGGCGCTGACATGTTGTTTTATTTACACAGCATATAACGTCACGTGGTAGCGGCGGCTAGATGGGTTCAAAGGCCCCTTGTCTACGTAAAGTAAACTGAGTGAATGATGAATAGCCCATCTACGGAACAGGATCCAACATGTCATCCTCCATTGCCTTATTGCACTCATAACCGGCTTATAAATATTAGCATTCAAAGTCTAAGGGACTATATCGAACAACCAGTGAACAGCTGTGTGAGTGGCTGGCACATGCGCCAAATTAAGTAAAATTATGAATATATTCACAATTGTAAATTATAATTAATTATTCTACATAGTTACACATTTTGGAAGGCACTGCCAGTGCCAGTGCCACTGCCGCTCACAACATAGCCTCATAGTCATAGTCATAGGGTCTATGTATGTCCCCCAGGGTACTGCCGGAACTAGCTCTAGTACTATAGGGAGTATAGCCCGGTTTCATTAACTGCTAGAGGCAGCGGCAGTTAATGAAAGCGGGCTATAGGTACTAGAGCTACGGTACCCGGTATGCTTTAACGTACCCTGGGTACGGTCCGGTATACCGGAACGTACCCTGGTAACTATCTAGCTGATATGGTTAGGTTTAGTGTTAGGATTAGGAAGTAGGCGTAGGCGACTCCCTAGACTCGTTAATGGAGTAGGCGAGGTACGGTCCGGCATATTAGATAGTAGTATTTAGTACCAGGGTACGTTCCGCCGGTATACCGGACCATACCCAGGGTACGTTCCGC